ATCACTATCTACCGGATGATAGTCATAAAAATTCATACAAATTCCGTACTAAATAATGGCATTGAAAAAAAAAACGAAAAAACTTAAATTTCGTGCGGGGGTGGGGCTGGGGTGACGGTTTTTTTGAGTAACCGCAATAGCGGCCAAATGATGATCGTACAAATTATAAAAACGGTCGTACAAATTACATACTAAATATTGGTAAAAAAAATTTTCAAAAATTGTAAATGGGTTTGGCCGGGGTGATGTACGTCCATCCAGCGCCACGGTCGTGGCGCGAGCTAAGTAAAAAAAAAAAATAACTGCCCGACAGTGTGTGTATAGTATATCGAAGCAGGAGTTGCCCATTTAAACTGTGTAAAATACACGTGAATTTGTTAAACGACATATCTAATTTTTTAATGTATCAATTAACTTCTATTAAACTAGATTGTGCTTTTGTAAAAGTCATCAAAACAAAATCGTATGTATAGAAATTAAGTTATAAATGAAAAAGTGCGAACTTTTTAATGGAATTTTATAATAAATTCAGAATTACGGTACCGTCGTCGTCGCATCGACCGGTTTCCCCACTCGATTTCGTGTATGCGACTTGAGGGCCTAGGTAGGACCAACTACCGATTCAGTGCCGACCGTCGGCGGGTCATGAACATGTTTTCTTTTTTTTTTTTTTTTTTTTATTAGCCGCAACAACAAAGGTTATTGGCATTAAAACATTAAGACATTAATATTTTTTAACAAAAATATGAGAAATTAATAGTAATATATACATAGTAATGGGATAAGAGAATTATAATAAAAATATATAGATACAAAGATAAATAGATAAATGTGTACATAATAGTAAATGGTGTGTTAGAAATATATCTAGGTTATATTAGGTGGTATAATTTCGTTAATTTTAGATAGTTAATTATTTGTTTTATATTGATTGACTGTGGACTAAGGGCTTCTTCCAAGTTGTCTGATATGTTGAGGTTAGTTCTGATGTCGCCGAATTTACGGCAGTGGCATATTATGTGTTCAACCGTAGAAGTTACACCGCAAGTTTGACATTGTTCGGGTTAAGATTTGTCCATAAGGTGTTTATGGGCACCCATGTGTGGCCAATCCGTAGTCTGTTTAAGATCACTTCCTGGCGTCTGGGTAATAAGAAGAATGGCCATGGGGAGACTGTGGGTTTTATTTTATTAAGCTTGGTGTAGACCATAGGATCTGCCATTGAGTTAGAATGTGGTTGTCGATGGTAGTTTTGAGGTCCTGAAAAGTAAAGGTGTGGATTTGGTGAGAGAGGTGAGAGGAGATGGCTTCTTTGGCAAATGTATCAGCCAATTCATTTCCTCGGATTCCGACGTGGCTAGGTACCCAACAGAGAATGATGGTCTGTGCATTGGTTTTGAGGCGGTGTATCTGGTTGTGGATTTTTCCGGAAATACTGTTGGGTTGGTGGATATTTAGAATACTGGTTAAGGTGCTGAGAGAGTCGCTAAATATTATGGCTTTATTCGTTCTATTTTCATATATTATGTCGAGAGCTAGGGAAATCGCAGTTGCTTCGGCTGTAAAGACTGAGCAGAAATCTGGTAGCTTGAACATTTGTTTTGTTTCGTTATATACCACTGCTGCTCCTACACCCAAGTTTGTTTTAGAACCGTCGGGGAAAACTTAGTATGCTCTTGGTGATTTTCCGAGAGTGAAAGAAATTCTTTTCTGTATACGCTGAGCAAGGTATCGGCTTTGGGGAGTGAGGATAATGTGGTGTTTATATTGAAATCCATGATCCACGGGGGAGTGAGGGGACATTCATGTCTGATAATTCCGGAAATATCAATATTTGTGTTTTGAAGGAGGTTTTTAATACTTTGATGTGTGGGGAGGTTGTTTTGTGTACGCCTGGCGGCTAGAAGCATGGCATTCTTTTTCCTTATTAGGCAGATGTGGGGCGTTTGAGTAATGTTGAGTAGGCTGGGGATTGGGCTCGAACGAAATGCTCCTTAAGACTAACCTTAGGCCGGAATTATGCACTGTTTCGATCATTTTTAGGTTCGAAGGTCTCGCATTTATGAAGAGGAAGGACCCATATTCTAGTTTTGAAAGTATGAGGGATTTGTATATCATTTTGAGTGAGGAAGAATTTGCGCCCCAAGAGGTGTGAGCCAACATCTTATGGATGTTTATTCTTGTTATTGTGGCTTTTCTAAGTTCTTTCAGGTAGGCGCACCAATTATTTCTTGTATCGAATACGATTCCTAATATTTTTAAAAGTCTTGTGTTGTGTATAGGAGTATTGTTTATTTTTATGTTTAATGTCTGAAATTTTTTTTGAAGGGTGAAAATGATGCTCTGAGATTTTGGGGCGGAGAAACGGAAACCAGATTTTGTTGACCATTATTCTAGAGATAAGAGTGAGTTTTGTAATACGGGTTGTATATTTTGGGAGTTTTTACCGCAGCACCATATGTTTAAGTCATCTGCGAAAAGTGATGATTTCACGGGGAATTTGATTTCTTTACAAAGGTCGTTGATTGCAACTAGAAATAATGAGACGGAAAAAGTGGAACCCTGAGGCACACCGTTTTCTTGTTTGAATACCTGAGAGAGGTGGCCATTGACTTTAACCTGGAAGGTTCTGTCCAATAAAAAGTTTTTAATAAAATTCAGCATGTTACCTTAGCACAGTATTTTGTGTAGTTTTTGTATTATGCGTGGACGCCATGTGGTGTCATACGCTTTTGCTAAATCTAGGGCTACTAGGCCTAGGACTTGTTTGGTTTCAAAAGCTTTTATTATATCATTTTGTAAATCATGTAAGTTGTTGTATGTGCTTTTATTTTTGCGAAAACCGTTTTGGTGTGGGGAGAGATAGTTGATTTTTTCAAGGAACCATCTCAATCGTGTGTCTATGATCTTCTCGAGTATTTTGCACATTGTATTTAACAAGGATATTGGTCTATAGCTATCTGAGTCAAATTTATTCTTTCCGGGCTTTAAGATTGGGATAACAAAAGCATGTTTCCAAAGCTTAGGGATTTGTCCGCTGTCCCAAATTTTATTAAATAAGCGGAGCATGAAGTGGATTGCTGACTTAGGCTAATTGTGTATGAAGATATATGGAATTTCGTCGGGACCGGGGGAGAGACTGGAGCTATTGGTTATGACCCAGTTTAATTCGTTTAAACTGATTGGGGAGTTTAAATATTTTTGTTCCTGGTCTGTCGGGTTGATGCTAGAATGAAGTTCGTGGGAGTCACTTATATTGTTCATATTTATAAATGACTGATCATAGTTGGTGTCAGAGCTGTTTGTGTAGAAAATATTTCCGATGAGGTTAGTGATCTCGGTCGGGTTGGTGTGGAGGGTGTTATCTTTTATAATGTGTAGTTTTTTTTCCTTGCTGAGACCACGCAAGGATCAGACTTTAGTCCAAACTAGGCTTGGGTCGCTTTTGGGTCCTATGGTGGATGTAAACAACTTCCATGAATTTTCTTTGCTTCTTTTTACTAAATAGCGCGTTTTTGCTCGAAGTTGTTTCAGTGAGATAGGGTCGTCGATATTGCCTGTTTTTATGAATGCTTTTAGTGCTTTGTTCTTGTTTTGGATAGCAAGTTTGATATCCTGGTTCCACCAGGGAACTTTGGAATTTTTTGAGTTGGAGTTTGTTTTGCCTATTGATAGGTTAGCTGCAGTTATAATTGTGTTTGTTAAGTGAGAGACATCATTGCTGATAGGATCGTCTGGTGGTGGGAATTAGAATTTAAGTATATTTCAACCATCTGTGAGAAAAGATTCCAATTGGTGTTTTTGAGTTTCCATCTGGGGGGCGATTTATTTAATGGAGCTTTACTTGAGAATAAGTCAATTTTTATTAGAATATGGTCACTATCGTAAATTTCAGGTAACGTTGACCAATTTATGCGTTGGGTAAAGGAGGTGCTACACAAAGATAAGTCAATCGTAGAAAATTTACCGTTGGCTGAATTTAGACGGGTGGGTTCTCCATTGTTGAGCAGGGTAATGTTGTCCATTTCGGCAATTTTTTCAATTTGTTTCCCTCTGTCGTCGGTTTTATCAGATCCCCAGTATGCACTGTGACTGTTGAAATCCCCGGTTAGTAAGAAGGAAGTTGGAAGTTGTTGAATTATATTTTTAATGTCAGATGCATCAAATTTTTTTTGGTTTGGTATGTAAATATTGCAGAGGGTAATTTTAGTTTCTAGTTGAATGGAGATAGCGACCACTTCCAGCGTAGATTGGATTGGTACCCGTGAGCTTGGATATTCTGAACGAGCCAAAATAGCAACCCCCCACTGGCTCGGAGGCAGTCTGTCCTATTAGAAGTGTAGTTGTTGAAGTTATTAATGTTGGGGGTAAAGTTGTCATTAAGGTTTGTTTCTTGGAGACATATAATGGTTGGATTGTGGTTTTGGATGATTATTTTAATGTCATTTAGCTTTTTTACAAAGCCGTTTATGTTCCATTGAATTATGTTTATACTCATTTTGGGTTTCAATTCTGGGAGGATGGGGGGTGAGGGTGCTGCTTGAAACAGAAGGTTAGATAATTTTGTAAGTCTAGCTTTAGTGGTCCGATCCTTTATTTCTTTTTTGACTTCTTCAATTAAGTCCATAAGTACAATATTATCTATATTAGCTTCTTCACATAGTGAGTTTATATTGATCGATTTGTTTATAAAATTTTCAAGAATAAATTTGAACTGGATAAAAGTTATAGGTGTTTCTAGTTTGGAAGTGAAAAAATCCTCTGCTGGTTGTAGCGCGATATCTATTTTACTAGCCTCAGCCTGAGTTATTATCAGCGAGTTAGATCTAGAGATGACTTTTGGTTTTTTTTTATCGGGCAGTGCGATAGGAAAATTACCACTTGAGGCCGTTGGAGAGGTGGGAGACATTGGTGAATTTGTGTCTGATAAAGTTCTCTTGATATGGTTATAGGTTGAGTTTTCGGTTGGGGTTTAGGTTATTGTATTACAATTAAAAATATTTTCGTATTCGGGAGTTATGGTTTCATCTTGTTTTCCTTCATGCTGGTCCGAGTAATTTTGGAGGTTGGTTTCATCAAATGTTGGAAAATCTGGAGGTTGTACTTCTTCCAAAAAAGAGGTAGGGTGTTCATCAAATGTGATATCTTGATTTGGCATCGTTTGGGACGGTTTGTATGGTTGTATGTATTGCGGATTGTCTGGAGATTTTAGTTTTTGCATGATGCAGTAGTGTGTCCCACTCCTTTACATAAGAAGCAGATGATCTTGTCGTCAGTGAAAAATATTCGAAACAATGTTTGGTTGTTATTGATGACTAAAGAGCCGGGTAGTTTGTTTATGTCTTCTTGTTTGATAAACATTTGTTGACGATAGCTCCGTATGTGTTCGAAGCCTTCAATATTTATTCCGGCTTTTATGTGATTAATTTGAGATACTGGGATTATGTCGATTTTTTTTAACTCATTAAGAATTGTCTGGTTTGGAATTGAGGGGCAAACGTTAGATAGAGTGATTTTTTTTGCTGGGTTAATTAACCTTCGCATAGGAATAATGTGCTCATTTATTGAGATAGTTTCGGATTTTCCGAGAAGTGTTTCAAGGATATCCTTGCTAGAAAGAAAAATGCAAAAACGGTTGTTTGAGATTCTTGATACGTAAATTATATCTTTTGGAGATATCAGTTTTGCGATTTCAAGAATGTATTCAACTTGGCGGATGCCATCGATGGAGTTAAAGACTAATGCTTGTTCTCTAGACGGCGTTTTTTCGTTTGAAGTGATGGTGGCGGAACTGGAAGGTTGATCGAGGTTTTGTAGTGTGTTGCGCTGAGGGTTATCGGCATCGATGTCGATTTCGTTTGGTTTATTGTTGGCGGCGGTAGTGGTGTCATTATTGATAACGGCGGCGATTATCGGGGAAGCCGTAGACGAGGTAGACGAAGATTTGATGAGATGAGAGGTGGTAGGGAGTGACGTTATGCTGTTGTTGTTTTTAATTATGACATTTGAGTTTGACTTTGTGTTTTGTTTTGAGTTTGATGCGATGTACGCATGAGTAACTTTAATTATATTTTTGTTTGCGTTTTTAAGAGCTGTTGGGATATTCTTTCTGTATAGAGGTTTTGTTAAAGGCATACTGCCTGTTTTATCTTTATTAATTATTACGAAGTTTGGTCGATATTAAATAATCGTTAAAAACATATTACCTGTTTATCGACCGTCGGTATAAATAACGGAGCACTATACTGCTATCGGAAGCTATATAAATGCGCACAATTCCGAGAGCTACACACGTGCTTAACTGTCGGTGATCAAACACGTACTGGAACATGTTTTCATTTCGTTATCTGCCGACGTATGCAGCTATCGTCTGTGTAATTATAGTGCGTAACTGTTCGCTCATCGCGTACCTACTATTGTGACGTTGGTATAACCAAATAGTACTCTACGCTGAGCTACTATAAAATCGGTTGTATTTATTATTTTAAAGAAAAAAAATTTTGCCTTTATTTAATTATAAATATGCCAACTAGGTTGCAAAAAAAAAGAGCTCAGTTTAAAGAAATGTACTTAAAAAAATAATAGAAAACTTGATATTATTAATAAAACTATTGTTATAAAAATATGTTCACCAAAAAAATTGTTATCTCGACAATCCTTTAAAAAAATTAAGGTAAAGTCAATGTTTCCCTTTCATGGACATATTGAAAAATGGACTAATCGACTTATTAGAACCGTTAAAATGCCTTTAAGTATTGCTAGAATGAAATCTGACGATATTCTCAAATTTGCTATGATGGCCAGGAAAAATAACGTACAAAAATACGTTACTTCTTTCTCATACTTACAAAAAGTTATAAAAAAAAATATTAAACATAATGTTGTTATTCCTAGAAACGAGGAAATAGATTTCAATTTATTGTATTTAATACTTGGACCATCGCAACATACGAAATCTACCGAACCATTGTTTGCTGACCCCGTTTATAATCCGTTGCCGAATAAGTATAAAAATATTTTAGAAATAAACGAAGTTGGCCAAATCATGAATATTTTCGAGCCTATAAATGACGAAACTTCTGATGTTTCATGGAAGTGTAATGTTGATTTATGTAATTTAAATTATAGTTATATTATTCATAGAGTATTAAAAATAATAAATGATCTTTTATGCTCAAATTTAAACATTAAAAAAAAAAATTTCAAATAGTAATCTGTGTATAAGTGATACACGTAATGGTTTTAAACGTGGTCATAATTTAGCATGTCATTACGACTATGCATGTACATCAAATATGTTATTTCTAAAAAGTCTAGGCACCCATTTTCCGAGTATAAGACGTATAACTAACATATTGTATAGGCTGCAGAGAGCTCAAAACCTAGTTACACAAATCGATAATGCTATATACACTTCAGATTTCAATAAATTGATAGAGATCAGGGTTCAGTCGTAATTGACAGGGACAGTTTTCAATGTAGGCACTTTTAATTATGCTACTGAAACTGATGGTGTACTTCCGTTTCAGTTACGTATTATACTCCATAACAAATTATTAAAACAATCTGTGACTATATAAAGGTGTAAATAATTTTACCCACGCTCTAGTACTTTCATATTTTCAAATCGCCAAAAATTCATGCACTTGATCAAAAAGATTCCGTCACAACGAAACCAGCACGATGGAATTATAATATGATAGACTTAACAAATATTCTGAGTACAGAAAGTTTTAAATGTATGAACTCAATCATGAAAATGAAAATGGGACAGCGAAATATTATTGTGTAAAGTTTTGTCAAAACGAATTCAGATTTTGACAATTTTCTTATAATGTTGAAATATTTACCTCAGCAACAATACTTTTAATATAAACAAAATACTTTGATGAAACATTGTAATAAAAATAGGACTGCAAACCATTTAAATAATATGAAAATGATTTTGATGCTGATTGATGAACAGTATCGCCTATAGATTCTGTTAAGATCAGAAAAAGCCAAAAGTGATATCAGATAGAAAAACAAATTACCGAGGCTTTATTTTGAAATCATCGACATATTAATTTCAAAATAATGGTGAGACAACTCAAC